GTTTCCCTGCGGAGACAGACAGGTGCTTCAGTGGCAGCTCCTGCTCTGTGGTCTCAGCCTTAATGCAGCATCAGAGCAACCCAAGAGGTTTCCAACAAAATACTTATTTCTACGGGAAGACACTTGTTCATCAAACCCAAACTGTGAGCAAAAAAGAAGGTGGTAACACCAAGAGCTAACTGTGAGATCCACAAACCAGCCATTTGGACAGTCGGGAGGCCTGCTCTGGAAGTAGAGATTCCAGGCTGGCTGATCCCATCACTGAGCGCTCTATCCCCACCTCCACAGCCCTAAAACACCCACGTTCTTCAGGATGTGACATTCCCCTGCTCTCCGGACAGCCTGAACTGCTCCAAGGTGTGGCAGTGGTGACTGGACACAATGAAGTGCCATAAAGGAGCTCGCTTTCCCAAGAGCAGACTTCCAGTGAGTCACGACACCGGGCACTATATCATCTCTTTGCAACATTTTGCAAAAGATATAACATGCTGTACTCTTCCCAGAGTTTAGGACTGACCTTAACAGGACACACTTGGAAAACAAATTGTGCTTGGCCAAAGCTGCCCTAATGTATTTATTCAGAATTTCAGGAGTTACCATTCCACACACCGTTACAGGTCCGGATCAGGCTTAAGACTCGTGCTGTCCACTGTGTACATACCTGTGTCAGGAAAAGCTGTGCAGAGTGATAAGCACAGATAAAATACAAGTGCTTTAGAAAGACACGTTTGGTTGGCCGTGTCTCCTAATAAAGTCATTCCTATTACACAGAGCTACATCCTGCCCTATGCAGATGAGAATAAGCAAATAGCAGTGAAACTTTTGGGTAAGTCACGAGAAAGACACAGACCATATTTCAATCTAAAAAAACCAACAAAACAACACACCATGTTATTTTAATCATAACAAAGGCACAGTTAAGCCATCCAAGTGAATTAGACCCTTTCAGAAAATATATTAATACATTTTCACACTTTGTGGGCAACAAGATTTATGTACGAAACCCTCTGATCCTAATTCTCTGACATTAGTCCTTTAAAAAAGCCTTGTAACTATTTCCCAAAATTTCTATTTCACAGAATGCTACATAAAAATTAATAATTTAAAAGCTTCAGTTAAACTCCACCCCCAAATAATCACCTCCTGAATGAGAAAAGCACAGCAAACTGCACAGTTAATTGTGCTGACTTCAGATTCACCACAGTGTATGACTGCTTTACATTTTCATATTCTTTATTCTGTTAATACATGTTAGGGCCACACCTCGTGTGGGAGGAAGTGGCTTTTGCAATCCTTTTGTAGTATTTACTGTTGATAGGCAACACTTCTGGTGGGGAGGGAAAAGATGATTGTTCCATTGTGAAGATCCCAGTTACACAGCCATGTGGCATTTCAGCATTTGGAAGAGCTGAATCCCTGTCCAGTGTTACTGTGCCTAAGAATAATAATGACAAGAGCTTTTATTTGAAGGGCTAATTATTTGAATTTCCAGGTTGCCCTTATTTGGGAATCACTTCTCTAAGTGAAGTAGATGTCACCAGGAAAAAAAAATAAATAGAAAAGGAAAAGGCAGGTTAAGCCCTTTCTGTCCCAAAAGCAGCTCAGCTCTCTACAGCACAAACATCAGCTAGCACACCTGACCTCCCAAGCTAACACACTCCTCATGCATGTCAGAGGAGTGCAGAAAGTAACTTTAAAAACCAACAAAACAGCAGTACAGCAAATTGCCTGGTAGCAAACTACCCACAATTATCTGTCTTACCCAACATCCTGTGAACATCTGCTTTAAAACTACTCTCAAGTACTTTGTCCCTGGGGCCACGTAATTCTTTTTCCTAGCAATTACACAGAGCACACCAAGATACTCAGTTAGCTCAGTGCCAAATGTGTTTAACATCACTCTGTGGTTTAAAGCACCTTCTCCACAGATTCTCTGCCAGGTGCACCTTTGATAAAACTTCAAATATCAGTAAGAATTCAGGAGAGGAACCAGTACCTTCTGAGCTCCCCTCCTGCCTGCCAGGTGGGACAGGGGAAGCCTTCCTGACTCACTCTGTTTGGGCTCCAAGGGAAGCAGCAAGCAACATGACTCAATTCAGACAGGTTTCTGTAGCTTCCCTCCCTTCACATTTGCTTTTACAAAGACCATTTCCACCGGATTGCTCAACACGATGTACAAAGATAAGCTCCTTCTGCATTACCAGTATTCAAAGGCGGAAAAAAAAAGCAAACCCAAACCCCAAAACCCACTGAAGTAGTTTCTGAGCTGAGCCGACTTCCCAGGTTTAACTTCAATGAAAAATGACTGTTTAAGAACACATTTTAATTTCAGCTCTGTAAGAGGATACAGTGATCAGATAGAGTATCTGAATTACATATCTAAATTGACTTGGGTTTGGTAATCCCTTATTAGGCTTATTTGTCTCTGGAATACTCTACATTCATGTGGAAGGCTCTGAATATTGTTTTCAGTCTCTGATAAAGCCCTTAATTCCATATCAGCAGAACCCTTAAGCTTATCCTTCTATCTCCATTACTTTACTGTCAGCTAGGGGACTGCAGACTCCAAATTAAATGGAGTCAGAGAGGAAGCACCCAGAGGACCAACCACCCCCTTCAGAGTGTGAGGAGGAGGCAACTGTTTGGACCACGGGAAGTCCTGGTGGGCAACCCCACCACGGGGCTCTTCCTGCTCCACATAATGACCCACTAAGAGTCCCGAGGGAGCCTCCTGGCTGTGCCTGGTAAGTCACGAGAAAGACACAGACCATATTTCAATCTAAAAAAACCAACAAAACAACACACCATGTTATTTTAATCATAACAAAGGCACAGTTAAGCCATCCAAGTGAATTAGACCCTTTCAGAAAATATATTAATACATTTTCACACTTTGTGGGCAACAAGATTTATGTACGAAACCCTCTGATCCTAATTCTCTGACATTAGTCCTTTAAAAAAGCCTTGTAACTATTTCCCAAAATTTCTATTTCACAGAATGCTACATAAAAATTAATAATTTAAAAGCTTCAGTTAAACTCCACCCCCAAATAATCACCTCCTGAATGAGAAAAGCACAGCAAACTGCACAGTTAATTGTGCTGACTTCAGATTCACCACAGTGTATGACTGCTTTACATTTTCATATTCTTTATTCTGTTAATACATGTTAGGGCCACACCTCGTGTGGGAGGAAGTGGCTTTTGCAATCCTTTTGTAGTATTTACTGTTGATAGGCAACACTTCTGGTGGGGAGGGAAAAGATGATTGTTCCATTGTGAAGATCCCAGTTACACAGCCATGTGGCATTTCAGCATTTGGAAGAGCTGAATCCCTGTCCAGTGTTACTGTGCCTAAGAATAATAATGACAAGAGCTTTTATTTGAAGGGCTAATTATTTGAATTTCCAGGTTGCCCTTATTTGGGAATCACTTCTCTAAGTGAAGTAGATGTCACCAGGAAAAAAAAATAAATAGAAAAGGAAAAGGCAGGTTAAGCCCTTTCTGTCCCAAAAGCAGCTCAGCTCTCTACAGCACAAACATCAGCTAGCACACCTGACCTCCCAAGCTAACACACTCCTCATGCATGTCAGAGGAGTGCAGAAAGTAACTTTAAAAACCAACAAAACAGCAGTACAGCAAATTGCCTGGTAGCAAACTACCCACAATTATCTGTCTTACCCAACATCCTGTGAACATCTGCTTTAAAACTACTCTCAAGTACTTTGTCCCTGGGGCCACGTAATTCTTTTTCCTAGCAATTACACAGAGCACACCAAGATACTCAGTTAGCTCAGTGCCAAATGTGTTTAACATCACTCTGTGGTTTAAAGCACCTTCTCCACAGATTCTCTGCCAGGTGCACCTTTGATAAAACTTCAAATATCAGTAAGAATTCAGGAGAGGAACCAGCACCTTCTGAGCTCCCCTCCTGCCTGCCAGGTGGGACAGGGGAAGCCTTCCTGACTCACTCTGTTTGGGCTCCAAGGGAAGCAGCAAGCAACATGACTCAATTCAGACAGGTTTCTGTAGCTTCCCTCCCTTCACATTTGCTTTTACAAAGACCATTTCCACCGGATTGCTCAACACGATGTACAAAGATAAGCTCCTTCTGCATTACCAGTATTCAAAGGGGGAAAAAAAAAGCAAACCCAAACCCCAAAACCCACTGAAGTAGTTTCTGAGCTGAGCCGACTTCCCAGGTTTAACTTCAATGAAAAATGACTGTTTAAGAACACATTTTAATTTCAGCTCTGTAAGAGGATACAGTGATCAGATAGAGTATCTGAATTACATATCTAAATTGACTTGGGTTTGGTAATCCCTTATTAGGCTTATTTGTCTCTGGAATACTCTACATTCATGTGGAAGGCTCTGAATATTGTTTTCAGTCTCTGATAAAGCCCTTAATTCCATATCAGCAGAACCCTTAAGCTTATCCTTCTATCTCCATTACTTTACTGTCAGCTAGGGGACTGCAGACTCCAAATTAAATGGAGTCAGAGAGGAAGCACCCAGAGAACACCCCCATGCTCATGGCTTTTCAGAGCACCAACCACCTCCTTCAGAGTGTGAGGAGGAGGCAACTGTTTGGACCACGGGAAGTCCTGGTGGGCAACCCCACCACGGGGCTCTTCCTGCTCCACATAATGACCCACTAAGAGTCCCGAGGGAGCCTCCTGGCTGTGCCTGGCATCAGCTCCTCCACGGGCTGCTCCTGCAAACGGGGCTGTTTGCTTCTCCCCTGCAGGTGGCCCTACCACTCCAGGTCTCAGCAGGCACCACCACTCCCTGATTCAGGAAGCTGGGAAGTGGTGAGCTGGCAATGGCAAACATCTCAACTGCTGGTTTTGCACTGCCCAGACACACCAGTGCTGGTCTGGCAAGGAACACGTTGCCTTTTTTCTCTCTCTCATGTAAAGGCTCTGCAGGGTTCACTCAATGCAGACAAACTGCTACACATACAAGAGGGGCAGGACTGCACGACACCCGCCAATCACTTCACAATTCGAATCTTCGCTTTACTTCGTCTGCAATCATTTTTGCAATGGCAAGGGAGGAGGTGGCAGCAGGAGAAGGGGCATTTCTGACGTGAAGAATTCTGCTCCCAAGATCTCCGCTGCCTCCGTCAAATACAAAGTCATCCACCAGATTTCCATCACTGTCCAAGGCTTGAGCTCTCACTCCAGATGGACCCCTGCAAAACGAAGGAGGAGCTGACCACCAGAAACAACATGTTTTCTGAAGTCAGGCAACCAGTTCTGTTCTGACCTGGTGAAGGCAGGGAGACTGTACAGAAGGCAGACTGGAGTCAAAGCCCAACCAGGCTTTTGGGAGAGCAGAGGGAAGTTTTCACACTTCTGAGGCAGAGTGGGAGGTGTCCTCACAAGTGTTGTTTTACCGTAAAACAAAGGCAGGTAGCCAAGCAGAGGATCTTCTGTCTCTTTCCTGGTTGTGAAGGTACCGTCCTCCACACACACACAAAATATGCCCTGTCTTTTCCAAAAGGAAACCCTTTGTTTTGAAATGACAAGCCTTGCAAACATGAATTTCATGCCAACAGAACACTGCCTGAGCTGAGTAACTCCCTCTTACCACGCTCAACCTTTTCTTACTCTGGATTTTTTCCTTGCAAACATTTGAACAGTTAAACCCACCTCCATGCATCACCTTTTCTCACAAGTCTCTTCAGTTCCTTAGCACTTCTAAACTCCTTTGAATTAGTTTGTCCCTCCACACAGTAAGAAGCTGAGTACAATTGTATTGAGATGACTGAACCAAGTCAATATTCAGTCAGTAGCAAGTCACAGCCTGGCATCCCCTATAAACTTCATCAGTTTTCTGCATTTTTTGGGAACTCAGATTATGTTCAGGCTACTGAATGTGTCACTAGAAGAAAGACTTTCTCATTTGGGTGAGTATGTCACAACTGTGAATTTCAGCATATGGAGAGTGTAAGAAGTCACACAAAGACTCATCAAACTTGCCTATACACAAGTAAACACCATAGAAAAGACCTTCCTGTAGGAAGTATCTACATGCTCATATGCTTTGGGAGCATATTTTGGTGAAGGGAAGGAGTAAATTAATGCTACATTTGCTACTCTTAAGAGAGCTAACAAGCCGTTGGTTGTTACTAACAAGAGAGGTTTTGTTTACCTGAGTACATCATTGACAGTGATCTCAGGGATGAACTTCTGAAGTTCCTTCACCTGTGCACTAAGGAAACATGCTCTGTACATTTCACCGAGCCCATAAGATAAGTTTCTCAGCACAAGCTTCCACAACCCACTGTGGAGAGAAAAAATAACTGCAGTGAGAACAAATCTTCCATGATAAATGCAGCCCTCTCCAACCAACACTGCCTAAGAAGGCAGCAAGTGCAGGGCAAAAGTTCCCATTCCCAACAGCAGTAATCCCATCATGCTGAGGAATACATTTGTCCTTCCCTGCTTCAGCAAACCTTGCTCGCAGAACTGTAGCATTGAATTTACATTCTTTCTTGAGAATTCTCTCTGAACTCCAGTCCTTCTTGTGTCCAGGATTTCCCTCTGGCCAAGTCAAATAGCAAGAGATTGAAAACCCACAGGCACGAGGGGAGACAGACATGCTGCTCCAGGCTTTTTTCCATAACCATTCTGAAAAGATCATCACACTTCTAAAACTCTCAGCTTTCAGTCAATGAATCTTGCTGTGTCTTTGCAAATCTTGTTTGTTTGCTTTCCTCAAGTCTTCCACCAGAAAAATCTATAGACAATGATCAAGGTGCTTCTGACTCTTTAATAAACTGCATTAAGTTGAACTGTTTGCCAGAAACCTTTTACCAGTTCCTTGACCTGTTCTTCAGCCTCTCCTTGGCTCCTCCCCAATATTTTCACATTCTTTTTCAAGTGTAATCTCTAAAATGGAGCACTTGCCAATGGTCTGTCCAGCCCCTCACAGGGAAGCATATTTCTTTCAACTTCCACAGACATTCTGTTCATTTATGTTTGCAGTTTTAGCAAGGATTCCTTACTCCTTGTTTCCTAATACAGCTTCCCAGCCTGCATTCCTGGCCCTTAAATGTATTTCCTTGCACTCGGACATTTTTTAAAATGCATATTGAAGGTCTGATACAAGTTTAACATGCTGATTGAGACCACTCTGTGTTCTGTCTTTAAAGCATCCTCTGCAAGTGTTTTAATCAGATTGTCTAGGCTGATTAAAATATTACACTGTGCTGGACCAAACCAAATCCTGGAGGAGCTCCACCAGTAGCAGGATGGCTCACCAGTACCCTCCAATGAGCAGCCAGATTCTCAGACCAGCTGCCATGTGTCTTGGTAGTTTATGAAAATTGGAATGTCAGATGACATGAAGTCAAGTGACTTGGAGAAGCCCACCCTTAACAGCACATCAGTCTTTAAAAACCCAAAAAAACTTGGCAAAAGCAGATGAGCTTTCATGGAGTCATAAGCTGACATTTAAATAACTGTTCAGCAGAAAAAATGAGACATTACCTGTACGTGACAGCATCTAAAAAGTCCCCAGTGCTGAAGTCAAACAATTTGTAGCCCTCTCTCTTAAAGGCCAGTACTGCATTAGGACCAAGCCAAATGCTGCCATCCATTCTTGGTGTGAAATGAAATCCCAGGAAAGGGAACCGAGGATTGGGAACCTAAAGGAGGATACACCAGTTACTACAGCTGCTACAAACCAGGTCACAGAGACAGCCACACAACTACTCATGTCAACAAACTCAGACAGGAAACATGGAAAACATTGGTGAGGAGGGGAGTCCAGACATTTACAGTTTATAGTGTGAGAGAGTGAATAAAACCAACTAAAACACAGTCAAGGAGTTGCCCTCCCAAGAAACAGAAATAATTTTTAAACAAACAAATTAAAAAGGAAGTATATTGGTTGTTTGGTTTCCAATCACTACAACAAAATTTGAGTCATGGAATCTTACAATGGCAGGTTGGAAGGGACCTCAAGGATCATCTGGTCCAACCTTTCCAGGTACTACTGTAGTTTATATGAGGTGGCTCAGCACCCTGTCCAGCTGAGACTTCAAACTGTCCAACTGGGGGGAATCTACCACCTCCCTTGGGAGAGAGACTGTTCCAATGTTTGACTGTCCTCATGGTGAAAAATTTATAGTCATACAATTGGCTCCTGTGCTGGTTCTTGTGCTTGTTAATTGTGCAATTACAGCATGTAACTCATTTAAAACACTGAAGAACAGAACAGAGCCCATTATGACTGTATCTCAGGTAAAAGGAAAACAACAGGGGGAAAAAAAGATGCATGATTTCTCAGGGTATAAATCATCCCACAACAAAACCAATGACACACTAATGCTATTCACCAGCAGTAATTATACTGCAATAAAATAGGTTATAAAATATTAGGAAAACCTCAAGGGCTCCTGTATTGCTGAAAACAAAGTGCAGTTAGCCAGGCTGGTTAATGTTGCTTCTCTGTATCTGTGTGCTTTTTTTTTCCTGTTAAAAATATCCTTTTAATACTATTGAAGCTTAGAGCAACCACTCTACAAACAACATTACATTTCTGGTAACACATCACTAAGAGCTGTGCAATTTTCTCATCATTACCAACTTTGCCCAGAACAAAAAATACAAAGGCCAGTGCCATCCTGGGGGGCATCAAGAGTGAGGCCAGCAGGTCAGGGAGGTTCTCCTGCCCCTCTGCTCTGCCCTGGGGAGGCATCACCTGGAGCCCTGTCTGTGGTTCTGGGCTCCCCAGTTCCAGAAGGACAAGGAGCTACTGGAGAGAGTCCAGCACGGGGCACTGAGATACTGAAGGGACTGGAGCATCTGCCTGTGAGGAAAGGCTGGGAGTGCTGGGGCTGTTCAGCTGGAGAAAAGGAGGCTGAGAGGGGATCTGATCAGTGCTGATCAATATCTAAAGGGATTGTCAGGAGGATAGGGCCAGACTCTTCCCAGTGGTGTCCTGGGACAGGACAAGGGGCAATGGGCACAAACTGGGACTCAGGAGGTTTAATCTGAATGTGAGAAAATACTTTGTTACTCTGAGGGTGACAGAGCCCTGGGACAGGCTGCCCAGGGAGGCTGTGGAGTCTCCATCCCTGGAGACATTCCAAACCTGTCTGGACATGTTCCTGTGGGATCTGCTCTAGGGGATCCTGCTCTGGCAGGGGGGATGGACAAGATCATCTCCAGAGGTCCCTTCCAACCCCCACCATTCTGTGATTCCTTCCCTATTAAACAACCAACCGACCACAACAACAACAAAAAAAAACAATGAAGGAAAAACCCCCAAAAGAAACACAACAAAAAAACAGACTGGCAAGGCACACAAGGCACTACCTACTGGATAAATATTTCCTTTCACCATGTAGCACTTTTCTGGTTTCAGCACCAAGTAATCCCCACGGAAAGGCACAATCCTGGGCTCGGGGCTGCAGCCACTGATCTCAGACAGGCGGTCAGAGTGAAGCCCTGCACAGGTCACAATGTGTCCACAGGAGATCTCCTCACCCTGAGAGAAAACACAACCAAACACACCCAAAAAATCAACCTATCTACTAAAACAACACCCCACTCATCACCTACAAGCTTTGGAAAAAAATCAGTCAAGATCAGAAACCATGTTTTCAAAAGGAGGCAGAAACATGTAATTGTTTCATTTAATTATTTGTAAGAGTCTCCTTTATTCACTGGACAGGAACCAACCCTGAAATGGCAATTCTCTGGGCAGGTAGGGCTGGCAGAGCCTGCAGAGACATGGGGTGGGGAGGGGGGAAAAGAAATAATAAAAAACAAATAATGTCATTGATTCTCAGCCTCCCTTCAGGTTCACAAACTACCTATCTACCTATGGAGCTCACAGTCTCTGCTTTCACACACTCTGGGACTTTTCTTCAACTATAATGTTTCCATAAAAAATAAAGTAAAAGGAAAGTAAGGGAAAGGAGAGGAAGGGAAAGCAAAAGGAAAGCAAAAGGAAAGCAAAAGGAAAGCAAAAGGAAAGCAAAAGGAAAGCAAAAGGAAAGCAAAAGGAAAGCAAAAGGAAAGCAAAAGGAAAGCAAAAGGAAAGCAAAAGGAAAGCAAAAGGAAAGCAAAAGGAAAGCAAAAGGAAAGCAAAAGGAAAGCAAAAGGAAAGCAAAAGGAAAGCAAAAGGAAAGCAAAAGGAAAGCAAAAGGAAAGCAAAAGGAATGGGAGGGGAGGAGAAGGGAAGACAAACCAGTATTTGTTGAGACAATCTAACAGATTTTGGGAGCTCCTGTTTAATGGGAAAGCAGAAACAGAACTAGAAAGCCGCAGCACACCCTTTAAAAATTACTGAGGGGGGGGGAGACTGTTTTGATTTTTGGTTGTCCTTTTTTTTGCCCCTCAAAGAAGAGTCCAGATATTCCCTCCTGAAAGTGAAAAGGTCACAACTACAATTCCTGAGCAGCAGTAACTGACTTGCAGGAATGACACTAATATATGTACCCATTTTACTCATGTAATTCTGGCTTTCTGATGAGTGAATGATTCTAAATGCATCCTTATCACCCTCCTTTATAGATACCACAGGCCAAAAGCAAACACTAAAGTAGGTGTTTCTCACTAAATGAGTTAAGTCATTAAAGGAGGCCTTGGAAACAACAAACAAGCATGAGAATGTGCAAATAAAGAAGATAAGGGACATATACAGACAAACACCAGTGAGGCAGCAGAAAGTTTTACTTTCATTATTATTCCCAGTACACAGTAAAATCTGGGTGTGCTCATGTGTTTTTGTCCTGGTTTGAGCCAGGATGAAGCCAATTTTCCTTTTACTGATTTTTTTTCCTTCAGCTCATGTGTTTTGTTAAGAACAGTTGTTTTATAAAAGCAGTCCTGGATGACAGTGACCATGTTATTGAACAACAGCTTTTTCACTTGTGTTAGAGAGCTGGTTAATCCACAAAAAGGCTTAAGAAGCAGCTTTCTATTGAGCAATTAAATCTTCATCTTAGCTCTTACCTTTGAGCTCCTCACAACAAGTGGGTATTTCAGTCCTGTAACAGAATCAGACAAGAGAAGGAATTAATAGACAGAAAACTGAGTGAACAAGCAACCTGTCACAGTGAGGGGTTCTTCCACTGGAAGACCTCCAAGCTATGAAGCAACTACTCTTAACATAACTGACACTGCTGGACTTCACTGGATTTATCATAGAAGATGCTGAGTTGGAAGGGACCCATCAGGACCATCAAGTCCCAACTCCTGTCCCTGCGTAGGGCACCCCAAGAATCACACCACATGCCTGAGAGCACCATCCAGATGCTTCCTTCTTCTCCCATGTGTGTACTAACAGTGATCCAGCCTGCATTCCAGGCTAACCAGAAAGCACTACCACAAGACCACACAAACAATATTCAGTTCCATCTGATTTTAATAGAAGATGCTGCTTCCCCTGTTTTACTGTCATTTTCCTCCAGCATTAAGTGAATTAAATGAAAATAAATAATTCCCTCTTCTTTGGAGAGAAAAAAAAAGAAACAAAAAAACCCAGTTGCCTGAGAAAAAAACCAAACTGAACTGGCTTGATACTCTTAACATAATTTTGCCTTTTGTCTCTTCCCTGTGAGATAGAAAGGGTCAGAAATGTGATTTCAGCTCAAGCGTGAACAAAATCTTTGGTAGGACTGTAGTAAACGGATGGCAAAAAAACTGCCTTACCATCTTCCATTTCCAAAGAACCTTCTTTAGCCATCTCCATGTTTGTAACTTCAAAATCAGTCAGGATGGTCCCACCTGCTTCCTGGAAGTCTTCAGCATAGGCCTGGGCCACTTGTTTATAATCCACAATGCCGGTGTATGGAGAGTCAAGGGCCATCAGCCCCTGAAACAGCATGAAGATACAGAACAGTGAAAGGTGTGTTTGGACTTTGATCTTCAATATAGGCAATCCTTGAGATGGAACAATATGCATTGCCAGGGAGAAGGGAGCTCTGCTGTCTCCCATCCCTGGCTGTTCCTGGTCTCTCCATGTGACAGTTCCAATGTTCATGCTTCCTAACAACTGATATGGTGAAAAATACTGGTGAATTAAGTGATGGTGTAACTACAGCATGAACTCTCCCTCTCCTCTGGAGACAGGCTGGGGGAGTTGGGGGGTTCAGCCTGGAGAAGAGAAGGCTCCAGAGAGACCTTAGAGCACCTTCCAGTACCTGAAGGGGCTCCAGGAAAGCTGGGGAGGGACTTGGGACAAGGGCAGGGACGGACGGGATGAGGGGTAGTGGATTAAAATTGAAAGAGGGGAGGTTTAGATGAGACATTAGGAAGAAATTCTGTGCTGTGAGGGTGATGAGACCCTAGCCCAGGTTGCCCAGGGAAGCTGTGGCTGCCCCATCCCTGGCAGTGTTGAAGGGCAGGTTGGATGGGGCTTGGAGCAACCTGGTCTAGTGAGGGGTGTTCCAGCAAGGTTCAAGTCCAACAAGTAGCTAGAATTTTTCATGTTTCTCAGAGACATTTTATTATCTTTATAGTAAAAAGGCTGTTACTTACATAATTGTTATCACACTAGATGGCATCACAGCATTTTCCTAGATCCAGCTATAAAATAAGGACAGTCTCTCTGAGACTGTGTTGTCTCAGAGAGATGCTGCAAGTGTCACTAAGATTGTCGGCCACTCAGACACTACAACAGCAGGGGCTATTTACATGCCCAAGACAACCAGGATGGTTGGTAAAACTGTATCTTACAAAAAAAAATATTTTTCTCCCCTCTTGACACAGTGACACCTTTCATAGCAACATTCAAGTTCCCTTTGCTTCAGAAGAAAGAAAGAACAGATCCAGATGGGTCTGTCCTCATTTGCTTTGGTTTCTTGATCTGAATCTGTTCATTTGCAGTAAATGCTCAGCTGGGTCTTGAACATGCAAAGAATGTTTTAAGGAGTCTGCACCTACAACCACTCACAAGCAATGATTCATGCAGCCACACCACCAGCAAGCTGCCAGGTCAAACAGCACGGGGAATTTGTATTTCTCTCTCAGTCAAAAATAAACAAAACAACAACAAATTCGTGTTCCATAACCTACTCACATGCTTCCTGCTGTGAAAATAAACAAGCTGAGAACTGCTACATAACAATCACATGTGTGGGAAGCAACTGGATTGAAATTGGCTTGATCCTAATCCAAGTTTAGAGATGGGAAGGGATTTTCATTGCTGCACTATCAAGCTTTACTGTAAGTTAAATGTTTTAGTGGGAAGGAGCAGGATCATCTCAGCATAAACTGAGATGGAGCAGCTCTAACCTGGGCAAAAGAAAAATCTGTCTGTCAACCAAAAAAAGCTACAAGAAAGAAGGAGCAAGAAATGGAGAAAAGGTGAGCAGGAGGAACCTCAGGTGAAAGTGTCACCAGGGAAGATTCTGCAGGATCCCCTTATGTTGTGTTAGACCTGCAAATGCACATGAAAGATTAACCCCAGCTAAAAAGTTCCAGCAATAAATGAATACAATTATTTTTGTTGACCATTATATTTCTTACAGGTTTTTAGGCTCTTTTGAACTTACCACCCATTCAAATTACCTCAAGGCCAGAAACATATTTATGTTAAATTTTTTTTTTAATTATGTCACCTGAGAAACCAAGGTCTTACATGCCAAATTAAAGTGAGCAAATACCTTACCCTGCAGAAGGGCTCTTTTGCTTGTATTTCTTTTGCTCCAATCAGTTTCAGACCTGGGACATTGTTCTGCAGCCCTCTTTCATACAGAGCTTTGAGTCTTGGAATTTCATCTTGTTGAACAGCTACAATTAGCTTCAGAAACAAGGTAAGAAGGCACATCAGTGAGCAAAATGTACAAAGGCAGCTCAGGTTTGGTATCAAGCCCAAACTAACAAGCAATAGTGAACGAGTTAACAGTGAATTATAAATCAAAGGGGGAAAATGCAGCTTGTGCCATTAGTCACACAAAATGCTACACACACCTGCTGTTACTGAGAAAGCACTCATATATTAAGGAGAGTGAAAAACAAATGTTAAACTGTAGTTTCTATTACAACCAATGGATAATATTTGCTAAAAGTACCATGAGACTGCAAAACTGAATGTGAAAGAGAATATGAGAAATAAGAGAAGAAGAGCCACTGGGATGCTTCCAAAAAACAACCTGAACTTAACTGAAGATGTGCAAATCTCAGTCTCCACATGAGAGTAAGGACGTGTCCTGACATGGTGTCTACACTGAACTCCACCAGCTTCACTTCATTTCACCATGTAGTTAGTTCACAACTATCCCCAGGGACTTATCCAGGCTATGGGTTATCTGTGCCAGGTGTGCACAGCCCATCCTGCTTCCAGGCCCAGCTTGGGTCTGGCAAAACAAGAAGACACCAAGTTCTCCAGGACTGGGGCTGCTTTATGTAAAATGAGCTGTAAAGCCTCAATGTGATCCTCCCTGGAATAAACACCGCTGGGGAAGCCACGTGGAAGTAGTCACATTCAGTGTCAGCAAAGGACCAGCAATGCTGGGTCAATGCCAGCTCTGCCCAAGCTCAAATCGACTCCTACAGAGCAAGCCTGCTCCCTTGCTGTTCCCTTGGTGCTTTGACTTCAGAGCAGGTTTGTAACCGCAGGCGCAGCGCTGCACAAATCCACAGTGCCACCCTGTGACCAGTGTTGCCGTGCAGGGAGGACAGCAGGAACACAGCTCTGAGCACAGCCAGGCCAGGCCAGCCACCACCTGCCCTGCTGCAGGGTCCCTCAACACTGCCCAAATCCAGGGATCTCCACTCTGTACCCTAGAGCTGGGAGGGACCAGATCCCAGTGGGTGCTGAGCTAGGGGGGCTGCAAGTGGTGCTTGTCACATCAGATAGGGTCTGCACTGTACTTTTAAGAGAAAGTAATGCTGCCTGAGATGTTTATGAGCAAGCTCAAATCCTGGGGTCAGTTCTGGGCCCCTCACCACAAGAAGGACACGGAGGGGCTGGAGCGTGTCCACAGAAGGGAGCTGGGGAAGGGGCTGGAGCACAAGTGTGAGGAGCAGCAGCTGAGGGAGCTGGGGGTGTCCAGCCTGGAGACAAGGAGGTGAGGGGAGACCTGCTGGCTCTGCAGCTGCTGAGAGGAGGTTGGAGCCAGGGGGGTCGGGCTCTGCTCTCAGATAACAAGAGGAAATAAGAGGAAACAGCCTCAAGTTGTGCCAGGGGAGCTTTAGTTTGGATACTGGGAACAATTTCTTCCCCAAAGGGCTGTCAGGCCCTGGCCCAGGCTGCCCAGGGCAGGGGGGGAGTCCCCATCCCTGGAGGGGTTTCAAAGCCTGTAGATGTGGTGCTGAGGGACATGCACATCAGTGAGCAAAATGTACAAAGGCAGCTCAGGTTTGGTATCAAGCCCAAACTAACAAGCAATAGTGAACGAGTTAACAGTGAATTATAAATCAAAGGGGGAAAATGCAGCTTGTGCCATTAGTCACACAAAATGCTACACACACCTGCTGTTACTGAGAAAGCACTCATATATTAAGGAGAGTGAAAAACAAATGTTAAACTGTAGTTTCTATTACAACCAATGGATAATATTTGCTAAAAGTACCATGAGACTGCAAAACTGAATGTGAAAGAGAATATGAGAAATAAGAGAAGAAGAGCCACTGGGATGCTTCCAAAAAACAACCTGAACTTAACTGAAGATGTGCAAATCTCAGTCTCCACATGAGAGTAAGGACGTGTCCTGACATGGTGTCTACACTGAACTCCACCAGCTTCACTTCATTTCACCATGTAGTTAGTTCACAACTATCCCCAGGGACTTATCCAGGCTATGGGTTATCTGTGCCAGGTGTGCACAGCCCATCCTGCTTCCAGGCCCAGCTTGGGTCTGGCAAAACAAGAAGACACCAAGTTCTCCAGGACTGGGGCTGCTTTATGTAAAATGAGCTGTAAAGCCTCAATGTGATCCTCCCTGGAATAAACACCGCTGGGGAAGCCACGTGGAAGTAGTCACATTCAGTGTCAGCAAAGGACCAACAATGCTGGGTCAATGCCAGCTCTGCCCAAGCTCAAATCGACTCCTACAGAGCAAGCCTGCTCCCTTGCTGTTCCCTTGGTGCTTTGACTTCAGAGCAGGTTTGTAACCGCAGGCGCAGCGCTGCACAAATCCACAGTGCCACCCTGTGACCAGTGTTGCCGTGCAGGGAGGACAGCAGGAACACAGCTCTGAGCACAGCCAGGCCAGGCCAGCCACCACCTGCCCTGCTGCAGGGTCCCTCAACACTGCCCAAATCCAGGGATCTCCACTCTGTACCCTAGAGCTGGGAGGGACCAGATCCCAGTGGGTGCTGAGCTAGGGGGGCTGCAAGTGGTGCTTGTCACATCAGATAGGGTCTGCACTGTACTTTTAAGAGAAAGTAATGCTGCCTGAGATGTTTATGAGCAAGCTCAAATCCTGGGGTCAGTTCTGGGCCCCTCACCACAAGAAGGACACGGAGGGGCTGGAGCGTGTCCACAGAAGGGAGCTGGGGAAGGGGCTGGAGCACAAGTGTGAGGAGCAGCAGCTGAGGGAGCTGGGGGTGTCCAGCCTGGAGACAAGGAGGTGAGGGGAGACCTGCTGGCTCTGCAGCTGCCTGAGAGGAGGTTGGAGCCAGGGGGGTCGGGCTCTGCTCTCAGATAACAAGAGGAAATAAGAGGAAACAGCCTCAAGTTGTGCCAGGGGAGCTTTAGTTTGGATACTGGGAACAATTTCTTCCCCAAAGGGCTGTCAGGCCCTGGCCCAGGCTGCCCAGGGCAGGGGGGGAGTCCCCATCCCTGGAGGGGTTTCAAAGCCTGTAGATGTGGTGCTGAGGGACATGGGGCAGTGGTGGCCTTGGCAGGGCTGGGGGAAGGGTTGGACTTGATGATCTGAAAGGTCTTTTCCAACCAAAACGATTCTGTGATTCTAGGAACTGGGAGGTGAGAAAGTCTGATGATGGCTTAAAATGACTCAAGGTTGTTCAGACAAGAGCTGACTGCAAAGAACTGCAGGGGGACCTTCCGAGGGGAACAATCGACTAACGAAATGAAACTCAATGCAGATAAATATGAAATGATGATCACAGAAGATGCAGTTTTAGCTTCACATATAAAATGATGGAATCCAAGGTTAAAGTTATCACTCAGGATAAAGATCTTGGCATTAGGATAGACAATCCTATGGAAATATCAGCTGAATGCCTAGTGCCAACTGAAAACTGAATGTCAGGAACAAGTAGGAAAAGGATACAGGATAATACAGAGTCCTCTGCTATTTCACTGCAAACATCCAGAGTCTGACCACACCTTGAAGGCTGTGAGTAGCCGTGGTCCTCATCTTGTACCCAAGATGCATTAAACAAGAAATGGTTCAGAGAACAACGACATGATGGAGAGAGGCATGGAAAAGCTTCTTGGAGAGCAATGACTGAGCAGACAAGGACTCACCAGCTGGAAGGGACAACTTTTGGGGAGGAGAAGATATAAAATCCTGTGCAACTTGGAGCATGTGAGCACAGATCAACTGTCCACCACCTCTTCCAACACAATGGCCAGGGGCCATCAGATGAAGCCTGCAGGAGCTGGTTTCGAAGTGATGTGTCTCTTCATGCAGTGGGTTGTTGATCTCTGCAACTGCTCATCAAAGTATGCACTGATGCAGAAACTTTGAATTGAAACACACTTGGAAGAGAAATCCATTGAGAGCCACTAAAGACAAAACAGATTAGGCTCAGAAAATAACCTGAGCTGAAAACAGTTGGAAACTGAGAGAATTAATTATTTTCTTGTCCTATTCTCACTCCTTCCTGGGTCTCTGTTTACAGACACTTCCAGAAACAAGATATAGGGCTGGGAAGACCCCAGGCTGAATCAGTGCTGCCACTCTCCTGTCCTCAGCATTTCAGGTTATTGGCTGGATGCAACATGGCAAAAATGTACATCTCTGGGTGACATCTGGAGCTGTTTTCAAGCCATGGAGCCTTTTTGGAGCCTGATATGCCAAGAAGTTTAGCATGTACATAATGATAGCCTTTGTGTTCCTTGCTGTTCCTACACAGGTGTCCCTCCACGGGGCTTGGCTTCCAACATTTCCACCTTGGCTTTCACCATTAAAACTTCCACCATGAAACCATGACATCTGGGCTATGTCAGCTCAGCTCCCAGATAAGGAGAATGATTATTTAGGCCTAACTGATTTGAGTTGCTGGAAAGCAGAAGAACAAAAAGGCACATTCATCCTGAAGGTTTTAAGTGTTGCCAAAACTCCTTTCTTGAGAGAAAGACCACAACCAGGCCTGTGCTATACATTGTAACATACATTACAATAAGTTTCCAAAGGTAAAGTAAGGAGGCAGAGGAGCTGCTGTACCTTCCCACACTGTTTATATGGTATTCCCTTCTGGTCACAGTACTCATAGCAGAGGGCTGCACCCTCCACACACAGCTTGGCCTTCAGAGATCCAGGTGTGTAGTAAATCCCACTGTGAATCACACCACTGTTATGTCCACTCTGGTGATGAGCTAAAGAGAAGGAAAAAAGCATCACTGGAACACATGCTCCCATGGTTGGTTCATACCTTAATTATTTCAGCTGTCAGAAGAGTGAGCAATTTGAGGTCCTGCCCTAAATCAGTGTTACAAGAGATGCTCAAATAAGGTAACTGCACAGCAAACACCATTCCTGCCTTGGTCTTCAAAGGCTAGAAAAATACTGACACAGCAAGACCTAGTTAATAATAAACCATTGCAGCTTGCAATGTGTTCAATCAACAGGGGAAAGAAACAAAAAAAAAAATCACAAGTTTTTCTTCCAAGAGCTACAACTTCAGGCCAAGCAATCAAAATTATTTTTACTGTGTAGAAAATGTTAAGATTTTCAGTTTTTAAAATGAAAGGTATACTTAAAAGTCTCTCTCAACTGTCTGTTTAATCCTCCCTTCCTTTGGATATGCTGGCAGGCCTGGTAGGCTTTTCAAGTATTTGTGAACTGGCTTAGGTGGCCATTTCCTCTCTGTAAGTAAGTAAAACAGAGGTGAAAAATATCACAAATATCTTCACGGAATTAACTTGGGCATGTTCCCCTTCTTAAAATATTGACTCCCAGAGATCATTCCT